TATTTTATTTTATTTTATTTTATTTTATTTTATTTTATTTTATTTTATTTTATTTTATTTTATTTTATTTCTTCTTTTTAAGAGCGGAAAATCAAAGGAGCAAGATGTGAAAGATCTAATTTATGCGAACAAAGAGTACAATTTTGCACCTTAAAACAGGCAGGAATCAAATACCGCAGTGTGGATGCAAAGCTTTGGGAGCCATTCTGTCATTCCTTTGATTCCTGTCAAGTTGCCGCAAATGAAGCACCAGAAGAAAAAAAACAAAAAYCCAAAAAGGAACAAAAAAMMCCCAAGAAACCACTAAATTYGACTACTCAGGACCTGATTACAGAATAGCACCTGAAAAAAGCCTCATCATTTCCGTTCTCCTATACACCCGTGGGCGAGGCCAGGAAGATGCTGCACATTTGCATGTAATGTATGTGTTGCAATATGTTCGTGGAGTCAATACAATATGTTCACAGCGACAGTCTGGGGGCTAAACCAGAGGAGCGGGAGCRCGGAGCTGCACGCTGCATGGCTAAACCAAACTCTTCAGTTTACCATATTTCTGACACTGAAAACAATAACACTTTCTTTAGGGGGGTTGAATTTCCCATTAGTTGGAATAAAATTCCCTTCTGTTTTGTTAATCCTGAGCATTTCTTTTTCAGGTCAAAATTAAAAAAAAACCCAAACCCCATGACTCTGCTTGAGTCATGCTCATCTGTGAGCACGTTYCCTTCAGGAACCTCCTAAGACACCTTCTCCCTGGTTCCCTCAACCTTTCTCGATATCACAGCGTGAAGCCTTCCCTGTTCCTGCCTCATCTGCACCAGGATTATCTATTTATTTTAAAAAAAAAGCTTCATGATAGATATGTGAGGAAAGGATGTGCACAGCAGTAAGAAGAAGGATTTCCAGATGAAGTCCCTGAATTTTCTGAAACAACTGCAATTTATTTCTGTCTCTGAGGCAGTTTTGCTAGCCCTAGGCATGCTTAGGTATTATCCTACCTTCAGGAAAAGTGTGTGTGGCAGATCCCAGATTCTGATACTCATAATGAAATTCTTGCCCATCACCACTGTCCAAATAGAAGTCTATGGGCCTCAAAGAACATACACGAATAAAGAGGTTTCTGTTGTCCTTAAGTTAAAATAGATAGGGATGAGCTCCCAGGAAATGAGAATGAGAGGGGAGCYTGTCCCCTTCGAGACCACTAACTTCCCCTTCATCACAGAAAATACTTCACTGAATCAAAAGTCAAATGGTCCAAGATCTACTAAGATTTAAAAGAATTTGCTAAGACTCTGTGTAAGAACACTGGCCAGGAGGAAAGCACGACATTTGGCATGAAGGGTCGGCCGTCCCGCACCTTAACTTAACCTCTATAAACCAGGCAGGAATYGAGCATGAAGGCCAAGGGGTAGAGAACTTTTTTGCTCGATCTGCCATTTCAAAAGCCAGAACACAGCAAGAACACACTTTAGTTCAGACTAAGAAGTTCCTCTGCTCTTTTGGCATGTTTCGGATGCTCCCCAATCATGCTTTAGATGTGTTTTGAGAGCTCTCTCATGATGAACTAACTGCTTCCATTCCTGAAAGAAACAGCGCTGAGCACTTCTCATGTTTTGAAATAAACTGAGATTTATTTAGTTATTATGATTCAAAGCTAGCCAAGTTTCAGTAGTGTTGAATTTTGTAGCCCCATTTCAAACACTGGACATGACGCATTGTTATTGATCATGATGTGTTAAAGCTTTATTTTCAGCAAAAAGACAAATTCATGCCTTTTTCTGATGGCTAAAAGTTGAGATAGAGATAAAACAGAAGCTCTAAAGCCTAAAAACAAAAACTGGACTGACAGGGTCAGTCTTTCCTATCTCTGAACAAATGTAAATCCTGACACATTTCTCAATGTGCTTTTCCCTTTTTATATTAAAATGCACCCTCCAGATCAACCTTATTCAGAAACTTTTTTCTTCAAGCATTTTCCTGATAGAGGATGTCAGTGCGATGAAGCCATCATTTTTTTTTTCTTTTTTTTTKSMWTTTTKSMAMCTTTTTTTTTGCATTTCTTTATCCTAACATGACATTTCATATTGTACACATCTTTTGTTACTGCCAAAACATGACATGATGGTCTATAATGTAAGATATACCAGTCAAAACAGATAATTTTGAAATGCAGTGAGGCCAGATATCACTTTGTGTAGACTGCAGCAGCTTATCTTCTCGCTCACTGGAGCAGCCTCCTATGTGAAGACCTGCTGTCCAGCCAATCCAAATTCCTTAATAAATGGGGCTCTCCCTGTCCTGCGCTCCAAAAAAGAACTCTTTACAATGTATTCTGCTTTATATTTAATATAAATAAGATGTATTTTACACACTGCYCTCGATGAGGATGATACAAAGTATTGCCTGGAGTGCCCAGAAAATGTCTTCTAGACATGGGTTCCTGTAATCTATTTTGGATGAACTAGATAAAAATCTAGACAAACGCAGGTTTCTTACAGTCAAGAACTGGCTGCCAGGCTCTTCACAGTCAATCCTGATACTTCTGCTCTTCCTAAATTTGAATCTGGAAAATTTCCTAGGTGATTTCAGGCAAGCAAAGCAGGAGACCACAGCCCATCTACATAGCATTTTTAGTTACCATTTTCACCTTTCTACAGGATAGGATGCTGGGGCTTATGAAAATAATAACTGATAGGCTCTTAACTGATAGGCCTAATAACTGATAAGCTTATGAACATAATAACTGAAAACCTTGTCTGCATGGTGGGAGACCTGGTGAGCTAGTTTTTCCCACATGTACAGAATAAAAAATGCCACCCCTACACTAGCTGCTCTACCAAGAAGAAAGAGACGGAACCTCATGAATTACTTTACATTCATGTCTTTTCTCAGGCACAAAATGAGCTTGCTCAACGCAGCAGTCATTTATTAATTTTAAATGTCCCCATGCAAATGAGTTTCCTGGAATAAGCCAGCAGCCACTTTCCTTTTTGAAAATAATCTAGTGCTTTTTATGCTCGCGATGACGGCAAGATGTCCTAATACACTTGGAGAAAAGGAAAAAAGTATTGCGCTCGGTCTCTTGCAGCAGTGTAGTGTGATTATTCAGCYTGCTGCTATCATTAATAATAGAAACTAATGAATTAAGACCCTAATAATCCCCAGATGTTCGGAGAACAGAACACTTCATGCTTGTCAGCATATATATATGTGGGCTATGCTATATATGCTGAATTTCTGAAGTCCAAATGTACTTGTGTTTGCAAGATCTGTGACTGTGTCTTCATTATTTGAGAAGATGGTTTATTTGAGATTATTTGAGAGAGACGGAGCTTTATAAGGCTCCSACTGCAAGGGTGTTATCTCCAGACTGGGAATTATTTTTACGCTGTGATTTAATGATGCGGGGGCCCTACTGTGGATTTATCCAAGTTCTGGCCAAAGGGGACCTTACAGTTTGTGCTTGCTTATTTTATCCAGGATTGAATAAATCTCCATCAACTCCATTCCTAGAATAAATCAAATCTTTCTTTGGGCTAACTCAGTCCTTCTTTGCTTTTGGACATGATGTCCCCTTTCACTCCRACCCCCTATATGGAGGAATCCTAAGACGTGAGAATGTGGCTATATTAGTTAGCAAAGTCAAGTGCCAATTAAGGGAAAAAAACCCCAAACTCACAAAACTCGACCCGGCGGCATCCTGCTGCTTCTACTCCTCCAGTTTCAGTATCAAAGCTGCCTTGCCTGGGCAGAGCTCGGAGAGCAGCTTATTTATATGGAGATGCTGCTATATGACATTTTGAAATGCCATACATTTGCATATGAAGGCCCCACTTTTCCTTTTTCTCTTTGAGTAAACTGCTCTGACTCCAAAGCAACGTTTTAACTGGAGTACTGCTTTCTGAGAAAGACCCTCCTTAAAATCCTTGAAAAAAGACCCTGAAATAGCTAATTATAACTCAGCAACCTAGGCTGTCGGTAGTGTTTTTGGGCATATGTTTTGATTTACAGCAGCAGCTTTGATACCAAGCAGGGCAAGGATAGCAAAACTGCAAGATCTTAAGACTCCATATGAAATGGCTAGAGATAACCTCTGATACAAGTCAGTATTTGCAAATAGACCTCATATATATGACAGCAGCTCATGGTCATCCCAAAGAAAGCTTATGGACAACATTCTTGGCAACTYTGAAGATAGGCATTGACTTTTGTCACTGCTCTTCTACCGAAAATAAGCTTTTCCACTGAAAAAGGGCTTCTTTCCAAGAGCCGCTTGGGGACTCCAAGCCAGCAAATCCCAAACTGAAAAGAAATCTTACGTTAATGCTGTGAAAGCCGACTGGACATTATATATTGCACCTCCTCTTCAAGGAAAGATAAGGCTGAGGCAGATGGCGCGTGGGTAAAGTTTCAACCCGAACACGTTGCTCTCTAAAAACCAACAGTGCTGGGAAAATGTGGTGACGGGGCTGGGGATGGAGCATGCCCTCGGGGTGTCCCCACCGGGAGGAGAGGACAGGAGGTGACCTTCCAAGAGCAGCACCGGGGCCGTTCCTGCTCTCAGCCCTGCTGCGATTTTGCTCCTTCTGGAGTTTCATCCATCTGCCATGCGGTTTCTGGAGGGCTTCATTTCCTCCCTCCCCCAGATGGGTAGAGAGCACCGAGTATGACAAATTGGACGAGGTGCCAGAAAGCTGATAAATACTTTCGATAGGACCCTAAAAATAGTGAAGGGACATTTGTACCATTCTGACACTTTCCTAACACGAGATGGATATGCGTGACCTCACTTT